GGCCCTGTCACACTCAGGTAGTGGGGGGAGGTGGCCCTGTCACACCCAGGCAGTGGGGGGAGGTGGCCCTGTCACACCCAGGCAGTGGGGGAAGGTGGCCCTGTCACACCCAGGCAGTGGGGGGAGGTGGCCCTGTCACACCCAGGCAGTGGGGGAAGGTGGCCCTGTCACACCCAGGTAGTGGGGGAAGATGACCCTGTCACACCCAGGCAGTGGGGGGAGTGGCCCTGTCACACCCAGGCAGTGGGGGGAGTGGCCCTGTCACACCCAGGTAGTGGGGGGAGGTGGCCCTGTCACACCCAGGCAGTGAAGGGAGATGACCCTGTCACACCCAGGCAGTGAAGGGAGATGACCCTGTCACACCCAGACCAAGGGGAGAAGTGGCCTTGTCACATCCAGGCCAAAGGAGAAGGGGGCCATAGCTCCTGGTGGCCTCATAACCTCAGGTAGAACTCTGTGTCCACATCTCCTCATAGTTTCTCTTTATGAAACACAAGACAAAGCTGTCCTTCCTGGGCTTCTGGGTGGGTTGGGCAGTGCTTGAAGCCCTGTGAACCCCCAGGCTCTGTTTAAACTCTGCCCGTCCCCCAGCCAGGTTGCCCAGGTTTCTACCTCACACAGAGTGCCCACTGCCATCACAATGCTGACCTAAGAGTGAGCAGTGTCCATCTCACCTTCCTGTGTGTGGCCTTCTGTCCCCTTCAGAGTGGTAGACCCTGGATGGCGAGGACAAGCTGTGGTGCTGGGGTGGCAGGGGAGTCTCAGCTGCCACTGTGTTGGTCACTTCCAGACCTCTGCTATGCACCCCAGTGTGTCCAGGTTGCTGCGGCTCCCTGAGGTCAGCATATTTGGTTTTCTTACAGTTCTGTGCTTTCTTCATAATCTTCTTCAGGGGGTACTTCCTGAGGTGGAGGCTTGGGGCCCAGGTGGGCTCAGGGTGGCAGAGGGAGCCATGGTCCTGGGGAGCCCCCAGCAAGGGCAGCGTGTCCTTTAGAGCAGGCACACCTGGGCTCACATGCATGCTCTCCTGTGTCCTCACATTATCTTGGCCAGAGGGCTGGGCCTCCCGGGGGAAAGGCTGCGAGGTAGGGCTGGACGTGGCTGCAGGGCGGGGTGTCTCCAGGTAGCAGCTGGCATGCTGGCCCTGTGACCACCTGACATGATGTGGCTGCAGCTCACACTGGCTACCTGACCTTAGCTGTCCTGTGGTGGCAGCGTGGCAGCCATTCCTCAAATCCCCAGTGTCCAGCAAGGAAGATGGAGCTTCAGGGGCCAGGTGTTGTCTGCATTCCCAGTGGGATGTTTCCCAAACAGCTACCTAGAGACAGGGAAGAAGGGAGGCCAGTCAGTGACAAGGCCAGTCAGTGAAGGAGGGGGCCCCTGAGAGAGGGAGGGTTATGAAGGAAGGAGAAGGGCAGTGGGCCAGGGAGATGACTGGTGTGGCTGATGTGAGTGGCCCAGAAGAAACCCAAGAGCCAACGTTGTTCTCAATAGAGAGAGGTTAAAGGCAGTCCCTTTAAGAACAGGAACTAGGCAAGGATGCCCACTATCACCTCTCTTACTCAATATTGTATTGGAAGTCTTAGTGATAGCAATAAGACAAGGGAATAAAAAGGTATCCAAATTGGCAAAGAGGAGGTAAAATTATCTCTCTATGCAGATGACAGTAAACTTAGAAAACCCTAAAGACTCAACAAGAAAACTATTGAACACAGTGGACCAATTCAGCAAAGTAGCAGGATACAAGATCAACATACAAAAAATCAGTTGGATTTCTCTACAGCGACAAAGAGAATACAGAGCTGGAGCTAAGAAAAGCAATACCCTTCACAATAGCTAATCACAAGATTAAATA